TAACAGTCCGGGCGTGGCAAGCTTCTAATGTCAACCCGACTATGACGAAAGGAACCCTTCTTTCATTGGAAGACAATGAACATATCCTAGCCCTAAATGAATTAATAGCAAACATGGTTTACATAAAAGACATTTTTCCAAGAAAGTTGAGCCTTTGTCACTAATGAAACCACTAAATAAAGACATAAATATAGAAATCTAAATTTTTTTAAATACATGACTTTGCTAAATTTTATTTAAAAATAAAAACGATTTCACACGCCAGCGGAGAGAGAGAACAGGGGAGAGATGTTAGTTTTGCATAAAGGGCGGGGCTATGGAAATGAGCTCTATTTGGGAATGTGGAGTTACATGTTCTGGCTGTTTGTGAATTATCGTTGTTGAGTATGGAGTGTTGAGGTATTGATTTTGTGTAATGCTTTATGTTGAAAATTAAGGTGGATTTTGTTTATGATAAAGAGGATAAACTGGGATGGGAGGAGGGTCCGGTTTTGCATAAGGGGCGGGATTATGATAATTGGAGGAATTTGAGAGAGTTTGCGGGCTATTTTTGGTTTGCATTACGAATAATTCGTACAAGATATTGAGATTTGTTGATAATTGGAAGACGGTTTTGCTTTAATAGTTTGATATATTTGATTTTGTATTGTGGTTGTTATCTATGTTTTTGGTTGGTATAATGTTTATATGGTTGTTTTTGTTGGCTAAATTTTCTTGGAAAAATGTCTTTTATGTAAACCATGTTTGCTATTAATTCATTTAGGGCTAGACTCTCACGGTAGACTGCGTAAAGTGCACCGCAAAATAATGCGGTATCGCCCGCTTGTTTTGAATGGCTGCATCTGTAATAGTCCTCTAAAGTTATCCATATAATAGAACTCTAACCATATACGTATAATAGACCTCTAAAGTTATCTGTATAATAGAACTCCAACCATTTATGTATAATGAACGTCTAATCATAGACGTATAATTGACGTATAACAATAGATGTATATTAGAATTTCATTCTAGATGAATTGCGGACCACATTTAGACATCTAAGGTATGCGTTTAATAGACGTATATTATACATCTTTTGCCCACTGGGAAGCCTTCTCAGTCCAGAACGAGAATTCATGTAGGGAGCTGTGTCAGCATGCGTAGGCTGCAAAAGATCAGCTAAAGAGGGAAGAAAATGCTTTCAGAGAAAACAATGTTTGAGGTGTGAAGAATACAGATCCCCAGTTGAATTGCAGCTTAAACCTTTCCCCACACACCCTGCCCCCACTGCGATTGGAATATACACAAACAAAGCACTGAAAGCTTTACATTATACAGTATGGTCAGGTGTTTTGCAGATGTAGGGATAGTAATTCTGACTTTATGAACTCACTTATACCTGGGATTCGCTTTATTCAAAATAAGTTTTTTGAAAATTGAACTAGGTACTAGATCTTGTTTATACAAAAGGTATATCACTGGGCAGAGTGATAGAGACTGAAATACCAAAAAAATCAATATAATGTCCATAATATTTACTATTTTAGTTTTCAAAGAAATGTTTATTTCTTAAAAGAAAGCTAAGGCCAGGAGCTACAGTAGGTTCGAACCCCCAGCCACCAGTATGCAAGTCATTCGCCAAAGCCATTACATCAATGTGCCGCTTGACAACATAAGCTATAACTGAAAAGGTTAGGCAAAATGTTTCCAAGCAATCACAGGTGAATGAGTCATATTGATGCAGATGTTTACAAAAAAAGTGGAGTACGTCAATAATTTGAGCTTTATGAAAATAAATCCTTAAATATCATTATTGATTTCTTTAGATATGCGATTCCTTATTAGATTCCCTATTAATCAAATTCTAAAAAGAATGCTTTTTTTACTGCTATAAGGAGCTCAAGTACTCATAGAAAAGGTTAAAACATTATAACTTTGTAAAGTATATAAACTTAATATTATCAGAAGGAACACATAAATTTTTTTCCAAAAAAAACATAGTAAGTAACCAAATTAAAGACTTTGATGTTTAAAATGTTTATGAAAAAAGTGAAATATTACTTTTTATATATTATACATATTGCATACAGCAGGTAGTGGTAACTAAAAAAAAATAAGGTACACAACAGTATTCTGCCTAAATAGTTTCTGCATCAAACTAACTGACTCAGTCACTGGCTGTGGTTATTTTGGAAACTTTTCGACATCCTTGTTCTAACTATAAAGTTTTTAATATTATAAAGAACTATAATGTTTTTTTTTTCTATGAGTAATGATTTGATTTGAAAATGTTTTTTGATTTGATTTGAAAAGTACTTAAATTAATATTTAAAAATTTAATATTGAATATTCATATGGAATTACAGTGCTGCCCTTGAGTTCAGTTCCTAGGGTGCTATACTTTAGCCTTTATGTGGATGATGTTAATACTTTGGGAGAAGGCTTTAACATGCACAAAACATTGATGTTTTCTGTAGACAAGACAGGAATCCAAAAAAGAGAAAACAATTCTTGAGTGTAATAAAACAGAGTGCCTTTCATTAAGTAAGATATGTCTTTTATTTTGTTTCAGCTAAGATGAGATTAATATAAAGTCAAATTAGTCAGGATCCCAGAGTATAATAAGCAAGCTCATTGGTCTAAAACATTTCACATAAGACCTTCTGCATCTTGACAGTGTATATTAGTAAACAACTGAGTGAGAAATAACCCTTCTTCCCTCCTTTGTTTAAATTATCAACTTCCATGAAGAATTCCTTGTTCACAAAACCATCACTTACAATAATTTATCAAGATACACACACTCATACCAAAACCAAATTTCTCAGTATGTCTTTGGGTCGTGCAGTACTGTACATATAATGTACAGTATATTGTGCAGTGACCAACTGCAGTATGATATAATCAGTACATAAATGTATGGTATACACAATAAATGCAGTACGGTACTGTAAAGTCACTACAGTACAGTATACATGAAATATATGTTTATAATCAAAATTTAAAGTAAAAATTGTTTCCTGTTTACTTGTAACTGAAATTTGAATTAAGACAAAATATTTAAATATTATTTTAATGAGGATGCAAACCTGAAAGAAGAACATCACATTCACAACAAGCCATAATAATAATCTATTTTTGATATATCCAACTAAATTATTTTATGTAAAATAGCCCTACTTTCTTTTTTATTTTAATGTAATATTTAACATACAGTAATGTACAGTATAAACTTAATAAAAGTCTGAACACTATACAATTTAAATTCTATAATTGAAAAAAGATTGTCCCAAGGGGCTCAGCATTGACTAGGATTAAACACCAGGCTTTTTCTAATGTCAACCCAAATGCTTCCACACACCACATTAAGCATTTCTTTATGGAATATCAATATGGAATTTTGTAACTAAACTGAGCTTTTGGTAGCTAATATTGGAAATAACTGAACTATAATAACATCTCTGAACATCATTAACAATTTTAATAATAATAAAAATGAAAATAATATATAGCAGGAGCATATATAGCTAAAGTAAAAAATAAGGTAAAAAATATATTCCACCTTCATAAACATTTTCTATTTTTTTTTAACTTTCACTTGCTGTGGTTATTGTGGGAAAGTGGTGAAATGTTCCTTTAAATATATTGGTGGCTCATTGGTAGGATTCTGCACTAGGCACAAAAGGGTCCGGGTTTTATTCCAGCTCTGAAAATAAAGCTGCAAATAACAATTTCTCTCATTAAACCAGCATTTCATCTCTTCACAGCGATCTGTTTCCAAGACCAGGCTTTCTAACCACCTCATATTCCTGTCACAAATGGTGTGAAGGACCCTATGCAGGTCGGGCAGTGAACAAATCCAATAGGGCAAGACGAAGTCGGAGTTGGGTAGGAAGGCAATGTCATTATCCAGGAGGCTTGAAGATAGTGCTAGCAAATCCAAAAGGGCAAGGCGAAGTCAGAGTCATGAAGACAGGCAGTGTCATATCCAGGAGGCTTGAAGAAAGGTAATGCAAAAAGGGTTTTGAGGGTGAAGAGCTCAGAGAAACAGTTGACTGTTTAAGCAGTGAAGTGAAGGTTGAGGAGGTTTAAATAGTTGGTGTCGTGAGAAGTGAGAGACGTGATAGGATAATTAGATTGTACGCTGTCGTTTTCGTGAATTTGATTGGGTTGGTGTCTGATTGACTGAGGTCGTGGGAATCCGCCAGCGTTTATCATAATTATGTGACTTATTATGTGAGAGCATGACAATTCCTTTACAGATGTCATTGTTATAATATCATCCCTCAGGGATCCCCTCTGGACAATTCCAGAATACTCAGATGACATCTTGTTTTTCCAGCAACCTTATGTAATACATCACTTGCAGAAAATGCTCAAATTTTTACATTGGTGAGACAGGAAGAAGACAGGAAGGAGACTGAAAGACCATATCTCTCCTGCTTCTACCTTCTCTCCTCTCCCGGCTTTTGTTCTCCCATGCTTTATCAACTGCCTCACACCTGAAGATGTTTCCACAGTCAAAACGTTGTGTCTCTTATTTTCAGCATGGGATAAACCTTTACTTGTTCTTCTGTATCAGCAACAGCTCTATTTAAAAGATATTATGAATATGTTAACAATGCTGTCCTCTTTCACATTTAAAAAAAGATATATCAGCTAAAAACAGAAAACAAACATTAAAGCAGACAAAATGGTTTGCATGTGTTTTATTTATTTGTACAATTATAAAATGTCTACCTATCCATGTTAGCAGACCTCAAGTAGGTTATTTCCTGGAAAGAAGTGAAGAAAGTAGAGAAAAAAACACAGTGTGTCAGCTTTGGCATTTACAGTATGTTCTGCAATGTGCTATGGTTGTGAATAAGCTAATGGGGCATCAGCATTTGGTTCCTTTACATGGTCATAAGTAGCAGTAGCACTGGCAGTGTGCTCACTGGTGACTCAGATATTTATGCTTCATTACTGTCCAGGTCAATTTTATAATTATAGATTGAAAACAAATTAATCCCGCTGTTGATATCTGACTTCGGCATATATAGCCTTATTGCTTGTCTTTCTTGTCTTCTTCTCAGACTTAGCTTTACCATCACTGAAGTTCAAGGCAGCATAATTCAACATGTCTGTAACCTCATTCTGAAAAAAAAAGCAGTTAAATATCACTACATTTCTCAAAACCCTTAATGTTCTACAGTATATACATTATCTTCCATATTTTATGTGATTACCACCTCAATATTTTTTTTTATTTGTAAAGCTTGGGTTGTACAGGATGTACGCCTTACCTTGAACTTGCAGAAGTATAGCTAACAAATGGACATGGGAAAGATGTACTTACAAGGACACACAAGATTTGCAGAATAGGAAAACAAGTTGAATTTGGGAGTTTAATTTGAGAGGTGAAAGAAAGGATGTTGACTAGGTTCCTGAGATATGATAATGAATAGTAAAGAGATGTGTTTGAATCTATTTTTTAATAAATACGTTTTTGTGACAAAAAAAATGGTACACCTTAGCAGATGTCTCTGCTTTTGATTTTTGAAAACTGTTCCTGTCATGGAGGGACAATCTCTCTCTACAATCTCCCTATTTGCTGTTTGAATATATTTTTTAATATCATTAATGTACAATGATACTTAATATCAGTAATGATAAATTACTGTAATTTGCATAAATCTAATAATTTACATCATTTACATCAATCTAATAATAATTTACCTTAATAATTCAACATAGTACTAGTGTTAAATTTGTCACCAGTTTTTGATTTAGTCATGGTCTTCGTCAAGTTGACTAAAATATCTATTAGTCACACTTTCAGTCACCCACTTTTAATTTAGTTCAGGCTCCACAGCTGAAACTTTGTGTTTCCTTTCTTCTCTTTTCAGCATGGAATAAACCTATTACTTGTCACTTTTAATTTAGTCTACTTCACAAAATATTTGGACTATATTTAGTCCTACTTTTAGCTGACTAAAGAATTTAGGTTTAGTTTAATTTTGGTATTGAATAATAAAATGTATTTCTAAGAAAATATTTAACACATCTGATAAGGTTCTTTGAAAAAGAACTAGTCTATTTTGCACAATATATAGAGTATTATTCCAAAAAAAGGGTTTTTGATAAATAATCGTATCATATCGAGACATTATTTGAGTCTTTACTAATAAGAAAATCTAATTTGACACTGTTAATAATAATTCTGTAAGTTTTTTATAAGGTATTTTTTCAAAGTGACTTTTTCAAAGTTTCATTTATAAATGTATTTAGTAGAATGATCCTGCCAATACTGAATTTGCCATGACTATAGTATGGTATAGTGGAACTACTACATGAGTCACTAAAAATACTAAAACCAGACAGGACAATTAATATACAGCACATATTCTTTAACTGGTATAATATTATTAATACCATTCCTTTTGAAATCATAATATTTCAGTCAACAAACTACTAGGAGTAGTAGTTTAAGTACTACCATGTTATCAAAGTGACCCGTGTTTTAGGTCTATCACATCGCTTTCACTTTACATTCTTCTGAAAAAAAAAATGGAATATGACAACATGCACTACAAAATGTTGGCTCAAAGATAATATATTCTCTGTCAGCTAAACACCTATCCACATAAACAAATAACTTGCAATTAAAAAACATTAATTTCTGATGCTTATTACATGCTGTGAAATATTCAGTACACAATTAGCATTTTATAAACTCAATTTAATATTTTGAAAATAAAATATGAACAAAAATCACAATTCTGATGTGACTACCATTACGAAGCTGAAATGCAGCACGGATAGAATGTTTCACCTATTCTCACATTTTTCACATTTTAAAAGAGTAACTTTACTTCTTATACTTCTTATACTGTACATACTGTCAAAACATCTTTTTTTCACCTTATAAATATTGCTAGACTACATCCTATGCTATCATTAACTGTGGCTGAAAAGCTGATCAACACATTTGTATTCTCTCGAATTGACTACTGTAATGCTTTAATTGCTGGGGTATCTAAATCTACTCTGAACAAACTGTAGTATGTCCAAAACTCAGCAGCCAGAATCCTGACCAGGTCTAGTGCAAGTGTTCACATTACTCCTATCCTGGAGTTCTTGCACTGGCTTCTGGTCAAATTCTGTGTAGACTTTAAAATCCTCATGCTCACCTTTAAGGTTCTGCATGGCTTGGCACCTCAATACCTGTGTGAACTATTATCACCCTACTCCCCACCTCGCAACTTTCGCTCTTCTAATTTTGCTTTCCTTACTGTCCCCCAAGCCCGTCTACATTGTATGGGTGACAGGCCTTTTCCTGTTATGCCCCCAAGCTCTGGAACTCTCTCCCCAAGTATATCAGAGAGTCTCCTTCTCTATACTCCTTCAAATCCAGACCCTCTTCTTCAGAAATGCCTTTACTTAACTGGTTCCATTCTTCACCCCTCTGCTTTTCTTAGTACCACCATCCATGTCTCCTCTGTATATTGTAATTGTGTTTTATCTTGTGTATTCTTTTTATTTATTGTTATCATCCTGTAAAGCGCTTTGAGAAGCCACCTTTAAAGGTGCTATATAAAATAAGTTTTTTTTATTATTATTATTATTACTTTAATCTCTGGCCCAGAATGGTAGTTTCCTAATGCACAGACTGTAAAATACGTTTTAGTCTAGATGGTTGTCTGTTTACAACGTAAAAAAAGGACGTCTTTTCAGTGCAAAAGTGTCTGGGTGTTGTGACTCATATGGAGTTTCAAAATTGTTTCAGTTTTTCAACTCATAATGTAGCTGCATTCTCTTTATCTTCAGTATTTTTTTACAATAGCCTTTTCTGGTTTACTCATCCTGTATGATGGACTACCAAACTCTAGATTTTTTTCTTCTAGCTGAAAGCATGGAGAACCACAAGCATTTCTTGCATTTCAGTGGCTTTTCTTTTTCTAAGCATGGTGCTCTAGTTTTAATATTTAATCTAATTAGAACAGTGTATACACCTAATTTTTATCTAGGTACAAATCAATTAAAAAATAAAAATAATTCATGGAAAAGGCCAGCTGGAAATCAGAGACAGAAAACAAAAGAGGAGAGAGAAGAGCACACCCTGATACTTGGGATTCTCTCACATTAGTAGGAACTAAGCAGTCCAAACACAGCCACAGTCCTGTGATTGTACTCATTACAGACAGCCTGCTATTTGTCAGAAATAAAGTAAATGCACAAACTGTGATCCTCATGTGACAAAATTAATTTCAGCATGAGTTTCAGTCAAACAGGTCATTTCATCTCACCTTAATTCGAACAATTTAGTTTCATCATCGTCATTGTGGAATATTTTCCTTTGCTATTTTACTTATAGATGCAGCCATTCAAAGTGTGCAGCTCAGACACGTACCAGAGGTAATTGGCTGCGGCCTCGCGCGTTACGATACAAAATGCCGTGGTATGTGATTGGTTGACCAACAGGGGCACTTGTGGTCCATTGGTCAGTCGTAGTAAGATTTTAATGTCTTTACTGTGCCCGTTTTAGTATTGAATATTTATGTCGAATTTTACCACTGAAGGGAAATCTTAGTAGCTGAGCATTAAAAGAATAGGAGCATACTGTAACTCGTGTGAAGGCCATAAACAATATTAATTTTGGAACATAAACATACAGTATATGGCTGGTCCCGGTACTTATAATATGGAATATAATATGGAATCGCGTATCTAAAGAAATTAATAACTATAAAATATATTAATGTACCGCAACACAAGAATAGTACATGCTGTACGATGTCTGTTGATAATGTCTGTAGGGCTTTTTCAACACACCTCAAGTGACCTTGCCGGTGGCGCTGTGGGTTAGGTTCCTGACTCCCATGTCACATGTAGCATGTTTGAATCCAGCTGGAGTCATGACTCTTTTTTAACAAAAATTTCCCTGGGTCAGAGATTAAATAAAACTTCACTTACATATTTCTAAATATCACAACATGATCAAATTTAAGTCATTTTAATAACAATGAATAGTCACCTATGCGTAACAATATAAACATTTATATTTATTTAAATCACGTTTAAATTGCCTTTATTTAAAACCCATAAATAAAGCTGATACTGTTTAGACTTTTAATTATTTAGAACTGTATTACAGCAGCACAATGCACAATGCGACGTAAATCTCTATCTTTGTCTTCTGCGTAATAATGTTCACCTCTCTGTCCAGCAAATTAACGATAGTAATAATAATGAACTTTATTGTATATGGTGCCTTTAAAGGTGGCTCCTCAAAGCGCTTCACAGAATAAAAACAATAACAACAATACTGTTAGGCTTGGCAAACAATTTTTTTTTAAAGAAATACAAAATGAGATATAATGATGTGTTCCGGCTTAGACAGTAACGAAGAGCATAACTCATTGGCGGTGTAGCGGTCGGCTCTGGCTTTCCCATCTATACCGATGCACTGCAAGTACAACCCCCCTCTCTGCGGGAGTGCTGGCTGTGACAAATTAAACTGGTTTCACAGGTATTTTCAAAGTAGAAGGGGGCGAGATTTCCAGCGAAAGACACCCCCTCCTCCAAAACCAAGTAAGTACAGTACTTACTAGTTAAGAAAGCTAGGCCCCTCAATGAAATCACTTTAACATGCTAAAGCGTTGGTGTAACAGTCCGGGCGTGGCAAGCTTCTAATGTCAACCCGACTACGCCGAAAGGAACCCTTCTTTCATTGGAAGACAATAAACATATTCTAGCCCTAAATGAATTAATAGCAAGCATGGTTTACATAAAATACATTTTTCCAAGAAAGTTGAGCCTTTGTCACTAATTAAACCACTAAATAAAGACATAAATATAGAAATCTTAAATTTTTTTAATTACATGACTTTGCTAAAATTTATTTAAAAATAAAAACGATTACAAACGCCAGCAGAGAGAGAGAACAGGGGAGGGATGTTAGTTTTGCATAAGGGGCGGGGTTATGGAAATTAGGTCTATTTGGGAATGTGGAGTTACATGTTCTGGCTGTTTGTGAATTATCGTTGTTGAGTATGGAGTGTTGAGGTATTGATTTTGTGTAATGCCTTATGTTGAAAATTAAGGTGGATTTTGTTTATGATAAAGAGGATAAACTGGGATGGGAGGAGGGTTCG